AAAGAAGAGACTTGGTTGGAACCAAGAACACAAGAGATTTCATCAAAGAAAATGATACGTTATCACGAGAAGGGTTTAGGTCACTTAGGTGCGTTAGAATCGAAGAGAAATAAATCGGAAGTGGAGTTGGAATCGAATAGACAAAAGTTAGAAACAAGGAAAGTGGAGTTGGAATCGAAGAGACAAAAGTTAGAAACAAAGAAAATGGAGTTAGAATTGAACAGACGAAAGTTAGAAACAAAGAAAGTTGAGTTGGAATCGAACAGACAAAAGTTAGAAACAAGGGAAGTGGAGTTGGAATCGGAGGAAAGAATGGTGCGTGATGATATGAACAGCCTTGAATCACGTATAATGAAGTTGAAGGAAGAAAGTAGAGTGTTCGAGATGAAGGGATTTGATTATAAAGATTCGAAAGTAGAACTGGAGGAAGAGGATTCGGCACGTAAACCAAAGGACAAACAATTGGACATAAATGAATCTACGCAAAAGGAAATGACGTTGCAATCCAGGGATTTGGGGTTGGAGTCAAATATAAAGAAGTCAGAAAATGAATTAGGGGAAAACGAATCAAAATTGAAACAATTTAAGTTTGAATCGGCGTCGACAGAACTGAAACAGAAGGAAATAGAGCGGGGTTCAGCGGTAATACAGTTTGATGAAAAGAGAATGATGTTTGGTCAAACGAAAATGAATCTTGGCCAAAAGAGAATGAATCTTGGTCAAAAGAGAATGAATCTTGATCAAAAGAGAATGAATCTTGATCAAAAGAGAATGAATCTTGGTCTAAAGAGAATGAATCTTGGTCTAAAGAGAATGAATCTTGGTCTAAAGAGAATGAATCTTGATCAAAAGAGAATGAATCTTGGTCTAAAGAGAATGAATCTTGATCAAACGAAAATGAATCTTGGTCTAAAGAGAATGAATCTTGATCAAACGAAAATGAATCTTGGTCTAAAGATAATGAATCTTGATCAAAAGAGAATGAATCTTGGTCAAAAGAGAATGGAGCTTGGTCAAAACAGAATGGAGCGGGATTTGGCGTTTAAGAAGTTCGATCAAAGAGAAATTGAGTCCCATATAGAAAGAATGGAGCGGACACTGGACGGGATGGAGTTGAAGTTTCAGATAGGAGAGTGGGAGTTTCAGAAAGGAGAGTGGGAGTTTCAGAAAAAAAAGAGTGGAGTCTCGGAAAGGAGAGTAGAGTTTCAGAAAAAAGAGTTGGAGTTCGGAAAAGTTGAGTTCAGAAAAAGTTGAGTTTGAGTTTGAGAAAGAAGAGTTGGAGTTTGAGAAAGACGAGTTGGAGTTTGAGAAAGAAGAGTTGGAGTTTGAGAAAGAAGAGTTGGAGTTTGAGAAAGAAGAGTTGGAGTTTGAGAAAGAAGAAGAAGAGTTGGAGTTACAGAAAGAGGAGGAAGAGCTGATGAAGTTTGAAGTTGAGAGAAAAGATTTAAAGGAAAGAAAGTCGGGACTTAGTGAGGTGCAGTTAGAAGAGACGATACCCAGGCCAAGAGATGATACCCCTGCGCAGACAGCACCTGGTAGATCCGTTGTGACGCAAAATATTTTTGTAATTGGTGGAGTTGGACAAAATGGAGAAATTCTTGGAACTGTTGAGGAATATATATTTCGTGGCGGGGAATGGGTTCCTGTGCCTGAAATGAACACCCCTCGTTCTCTCATGTCATCTGTTATTGTTGGTAATGAAATTGTTATCAGCGGTGGTGATACTGGGGCTGAGATTACCGACACCATCGAAACCCTGAATTTTCGTGAAACTCCCCTACAATGGATTACATCTCCTGCGAGGCTGCCTGTTCCTCTGTCAGGTCATCAGACGGTTGTTTATCAAGGAAGGTTGATTGCAATCGGTGGACATAATGGTGATGAAGGATTTAATTCTGACAAGATCTACGAGGTTTGTCTGACCCCACCTTATTCCACCAATATTCTGTGTTTTATGCCCCAACCAAGGGCGGGACATGGAGCAGAGTTGGTCGGTGATGAAATCTTCATCTTTGGTGGCACAAGAAACGTTTCTGCGCCAAATAATGAGGTCTTGGTTTACAATTTGGTTACGAGAGAGTTCAGAGTGATGGAAAGTTTGCCTTACGCAGTGCACGGAATGGCCACAGTTCGGCAGTCGGGTATAGTGATATTGTTGGGGGGCATTGATCAGAATGAAGAAGAGTTGGATCAAGTTATCACGTACAACATTCAGTCCGGAGAAACCAATCCATTACCATCTATGAATGAAATGAGAGGTGGTTGTTGTGCTGTGAGAAGTGTCATGCCTGATTGCATTGCTGGTTGCTCATCTGACGAAACCACCGAGGTCCTGGTGGCCTTGGGAAGTTTGCGAGATAATATCAAGACCACAGAATGTTACGATTTTCGAAGTCAAAAATGGAAAGGCATGCCTTCTTTGACTTTCCCTCGCAAATATAGCACAATGGTAGCGTCGCCAACAGAATTCAATTTCATGTAGTCAAGATACCTTCTGCGAATGAACTTGTTATAGAACGACACAACTTGCAAAGAAAATAATTCTTTGTCACTGTATTAAATAGAACTGCCGTGTGCCTTAAAAAGCAGAATTGGTAAAGAATGAAATTGATTTTGAATAAGGGAGACTGAATGGACAAACATTTTTATCATTGGACATGAATTTAGACGTAGATATTTCTCGTAGTCATAGATAATTATTACTTTCTTGTAATGTAATGCCAGCCTCATTTCAAATTAATTAAACCACTGTATCATAATCAACAATATTCTACCGACACATTTTATACTCGTTTGCAATTTTCAATCAGAATTTTTATTTGTATTAAAATATATCAAAAATAAAACTCAAGTTCTCCATATTGCGATCACTACCCAAGCACCAATCTTGTTCCCTGAGCCCGCAATATGGGATAAATGAAATCAGAAATGATTCTGATTGGTGGTACAAGCCGTTGGAATCATGAAATGTTGAACCCGCGCTGACCAAGATAATCGCTTGCACTTGAACAGATAACCTTAATTTTCGAAACCGTAGCACAGAAAAGGGTTATTTTTAGAGAAGGCTGAAGACATTTGCTTTGGCGCGTTCATTACATGTATTTTATTCAATTTTGAGATACGAGGTTATTTGCTCAAGTGCCAGCGATTATTTTAGTCAGCGCGGGCAAATTTCCCAGCTGTTGGAATGTAATACAATCCAAACCCGAAACAAACGGGAAAACAGAATTTCTGGCTTTTCGGTTTGGATTATCTCAGAGCCTTTGTTTACTCGCCAGCGGCCCTATAATTAACAAAAATTGAGATAAAGTTCCTCTTTGAGTAGTTGTCACATGTTGATTGGAGCGACACGAAATTGCATGCGATTTTGCATTCTATTAACATGTCTGGCTTGCATTTTACATCGTCCAAAATATTGCCATCTTGTGAGGAAAAAACAAATCCAGTAAGGATGATCTTTTATTGATCCAATGTTACTACAGGAGGAAACCTAAACTAAACTAACTTTATTTATACTGGATAGCTCTATCAGTTCTAAACTGTTCTTCCTAGAGATCCAGTAAGGATTATCTCTTATTGATCCAGTGTTACTACAGGAGGAAACCTGAACTAAACTAACTTTATTTATACTGGATAGCTCTATCAGTTCTAAACTGTTCTTCTTAGAGTTCCAGTAATGATCATCTCTTATTGATCCAGTGTTACTACAGGAGGAAACCTAAACTAAACTAACTTTATTTATACTGGATAGCTCTATCAGTTCTAAACTGTTCTTCCTAGAGGTCCAGTTAGAATCATCTCTTATTGATCCAGTGTTACTACAGGAGGAAACCTAAACTAAACTAACTTTATTTATACTGGATAGTTCTATCAGTTCTAAACTGTTCTTCCTAGAGGTCCAGTAAAGATCATCTCTTAATGATCCAGTAACCTACAGGAGGAAACCTAAACTAGCTTTATATACTGGATAGTTCTATCAGCTCTAAACTATTCCTTAAAACCTTTTTAAAACATATATACAATTCTCAAAGCATAAATATCAAATTATCAATTATTGCGAAACATATTCCGTTACACATTCATCATTATACAGTGATATTATCACTTATTCATTTCAACCATAGGAATTTGCGAAATGACTAATTCGCATAATATATTTTGATTCTGGGCTTGCAGTCAACTACAGCTAACAGCTACCTGCTATAGCGCGTTTCAGCGCGCCACCACCTGCCGTAAATGTGGACAGTTTTGTTGCTGTGGCAATAAATGTTTAAGAAAACAAGACTTCGCTTCTCTCCAGATAAGTCGTGCGTGATAGATCTCGCAGTTAGCTTCAAATATATACAGTAGGGGGAAAAAGTTTGAGTCCAGTGACTGTATTTCATTGTTTTAGCAGCATATATTAATATTCTAAAGAAAACCTTATACCGATAAGTGAACTAGAAAAAAGTAAATAAGTAAACTGAAAAATACATGCTGTACAACAACTATGAGATGTTATGATATTCATTTAACCTATGTTAATGTGCAAACATGCATTACATGTCAATGTTTAGTATCCTTCTTTTTTGTCCTTGAAATGGCCTTTATTCTTGCTGATTCCATAGGTTTTGTAATGTCGCACGTTCAATTACCTTGCCAGCATTCGTTGACCACTTGCCTCAAGTCATCCTGGATGGTTGGTCTGTGTCTCGCCCTTTTCAGGTTAAAACGGTCCTACAAGTGTTCCATAGGTTTTAGATCTGGAATTTGAGGTGGAAAGCCATGAGAACGAGATCGCCAGAAGGAGTTTGCTTCTAAAACTTTACCAACCATAATTACCAACCTTAAAATATATTTGCGAATGTCTGGCGTTTACAATTACTTTTAACACAGACTCCGTGTTTTCCGAAAATGCGGACCCTAGTGCGGACTCCGTACACCGATTCCGTACACCGACTCCGTACCTTCCACCACGCCTTCCATTTCATGATATCATTATTCATTAGGCAACACAAGTCCACAACTCAAATGCTGTATTTATGAGATTGATATCGAAAGTAAACTGTTAATCTAATCTTAGTACATCTGATTCCCTTCAGAAAGATTCAATTTAGGTAAGTTTACGATCCTTTTAATATCTCGGAGTTACGGTTATTTCCTTTCGTAAAGAATGACTATTCTTTGAGATTCAATCTCACGCGACTTACAACACAACCGTGCGTATATTATTTTTTATGCTGTGTTTATACAATGTTAGGCCGTGTATTTAAAGTTCCAACCGTGTAGCAGAGTTTAAAACGTAATGACAGGAGTTATTATGAAGGTGCAACCTTTAAAATGTATCTGTAATTTCAACAGAACAGGCTATATGAATGATATAAGATTTAAATGCTAAATGCATTTCACTTCCACTGTGTTTACATTGTAGCCATAGTGCATCTCAGAGGCCGAATGTTCGCTAGATGGATAACTTATCCAACGGATAAATCTGCTATTCAGTGGATAGTTATCCATTGGATAAAAACGCGTTGCACGAAGCGTGGATAGTGAAGTGGATAGCTATCCAATAGATAAGTTAAAATTTACCAGAAGAAAACAGGATTATCCTGAAATTTCGTAAAACAACGTCAGCTGTTGCTCAGCATTTATAACATTGAATTCATAATCATTACGAATTCTCGAGTATAGTTAATGAAAAATACTAAAGTAAACGATACAATTTTTGTATGGCAACAAAGATTAGCTTATTTAGTTTACGATTATACCATTCTTATATGGACACGACCAAAACTGGCCGAGTTATCGTCTTTTGAGAATTGTTGCTCGAAATCGAATTTTTCTGCCGATGGGAATTCGAAATGAGACCTCCAGACAAAAGAAAATGCAAATTTAATTAAATCGACAAAATGTTATGCAGCAAAATTTACATAAATTCATGTTCATTCAATAACGAATTTAGGGTCCTATGCCTTCAACATGTCCTCCGTTTCTGTCTATGCAGGATGCCTTGAACTGCTCGTCGAACCAGTGTCAAAAACACGATCGAGTCATGATTGTTACAGGAAATCAACTATACATTTCTAATCTGTGATTATTTGTAGTTTGTTATATAGGTGCTGTGTATTTTAAATGTGATTGGTTCATTCGTAGTCACATGATTTTAAATTAATGCAATGTTTCCCGCCAGGTAAACAAGTGCAAAATTGTTGCCCGCATATTATCATAACAAAGTTTTTTGAAATGAAATTGTCGTGTAACATGTATGTTTTTGTTCCTATATAACAAAACACTTAATGTTCGCTGCACCTCGGGAAATAGTGAGTTTTGTTTTCCCTCGAGTCTCAATGTTTCCCTCGATTTCGTCTCGGGAAACATTCAGACTCTTGGGAAAACAAAACTCACTATTTCCCTCGGGAGCATACATTAATTAAGTGTATATTATATGTATATTTAATTTAACTTCCTGTAACAATCATGACTCGATCGCGTGTTTGAAGTCGCTGGTCTGAAGTGGGGGGGCATTGAGGTTTTTACAAGTTGTTGGGGATACGTTTGGTGTTGATAAGGGTGCAGTGTCCCGTGTCGTAAGAGATGTGTCCTTGGCACTTCACAAGAGACAACAACGGTTTATCAAATGGCCAACAAACGTGGAAATCCCAGACATCAAAAATAATTTTTTTGCACTAGCTGGCTTTCCGTGCGTAACTGGTTGTATCGATTGTACCAACATCCGAATTCAGGCTCCGTACGTGCACGAGTACAATTATGTAAACAGGAAGCGGTATCACTCGATCAATGTACAAGGAATAATTTGCGATAATGAAGGTAACATTATATTCATATTTTCCTGCACACACTGATTACAATTATGGGAATGATTGCAATTATGGAAATGATTACAATTCCACACTGATTACAATTATGGTGCTATGCTGCAATGCTGTTAACTTAAGATTTTGTTCATGACTAATTTTGGGTGTACGTGGCACTTTACTGAGGTCACCATACTACACCCTACTACAGATTTTTTTTTGTAAATTGCATTATTAACCTGGGTATGTTTTTTAACTGTTCTCTTGACTTGGTGTTTCTACATGGGGGGTTATGGGTGGTGGATTTTCTAAATATTTCAACAACTTTTTAGGAAAATTCATCAATATTGTGGCTCGATGGCCAGGAAGTACACACGATAGCCATATACTGCGTACATCAAACATATGCACTCACCTGGAGAACCACCACCATGATCTAGATGATGGTGTTCTGCTTGGTGACAGTGAATACCCTTTTAAGGCTTTTTTAATGACCCCATACAGCACCCCAAACACACCAAATGAGAGGGCATTCAACTGAGCGCACAAGAAAACAAGGGTGACTATTGAAAGAACCTTTGGAATGCTAAAACGGAGATTCCATCTACTGCACGGGGAGGTGAGAATGCAACCGGAAAAAGTGTGCCAGCTCATTGGTGCATGTGCAATATTTAACAATTATTGGATGAGGTTGTGTGTGATATCGAGAATTATCAAGCCGAAGTTTGCGTTATTCGCCGAAGTGAAGCTGAGGCGGATAACGCAAACTGAGGCTTGATAATTCTCGATATCATGCGAAAACCGAATTAAATAATTGTTTTATTATGTATTTCCTTTTTAGAGAGGAAGCCTGCGCCATTATTGACAACAAACTATAGCAGCAAAAAATTACGTCACCTACAGATAATTTCCAATGTCGTGTAGGTGGCAAGACATTGAAAATTATCTGTAGGTTTTTAGCCAATCACAATCGAGATTGCATTAGTAATGCATAATAATACACAATATTGCACTTGCATTAAATAAGCCCATGTTGGATATTGAGGATGAGGACGACCAACCAGAGTTGGAGAATATGCTGGGCCCCAAAATGGCCTTCTAATTAAGGAACATATAACCAACACCTTTTTTTAACTGTTATAAGGTAGAATTAACTGAGCCTATAATGCAAGAATTGTTACCAAAATAAGCAAGTTTGTAAAATAATATAATTCAATTATCCGGCACAAAAATATATAATTATTAAATCATTAATTCATTAAATAATTTGTATATACAGTACATTAGAAAATTGTTCATTGAAATTTACAATACAGTACCCAAAATGTTGTGTGCTTTTATGATCAGTTATAATACATGCACTCAAGATCAGATTATAATAAGTTCAAACATGAAAACAAAATAAATAATTGACAATAAATATTTTGAATAAAGAACTATGTACGTATTGTCAACTGATATCTATGATTCCTATATTTTTCATTGTTTAATAAAGTTGATAATTTAATTTAATTCAAACAACTTGAAACTAACTCATACTAACTCTCCTGACGAAGGGCATCAGGTTGAAACGTCGAGAAGTGTTTTGTCTATTTTAGGCAGTTGTTATATCACATTTGATGCCATGCAAAATGTAGTTAAAGATTTTTACAACCGGCCTCTGGTCGAGAGCGATTTTGTGATTAATTTCACGTAGTGATTCAAAGTCTTCGCAAGTTCCTTCAACTATTTTTGTTAGTTATTGATAGTTGGTTATTAATATTTTTCCAATATGTACACGATCTTTATCGCTAACAAAACTAGAGTCTTATTGTTAGCATTTGTTCAGAGTATAAATTGGACATTATATGATTATATATTATTTAAAACACGCGAAATTTGGGAAATTTTTGCATCAAAGTGTCCTCGCATTGTGAGCCTAACCGATGCGCAAAACGAACATAACTTGTCAGTATGATATATATTGCGCCAGAACGTGAAGATGGCTTGAGGGAACTTATTTCTAAATAAAGAGTTACAAAAGGATAATCTTTAAAAGCACTGAAATCCTTGCACGTCAACAACATTTTTTTTATAATCACCATGCACTTAGGATTAACTTTTCCTGATATCTTGATTTTCAACTCTTTTCTAGGAGGTTGGTTTAATCCTTGAAGATTTAGAAACAGTCAGCATTTACGATACAAATAAAATACCTAAAGTTTTTGTTCTTTGAGAAAGTCGCAGCATTAATAAGAGATGGAAAAATCAACACAGATGGGAAGCTATTATAAAAAAACGAAATTAAAGTTAGACATTCTTAAACTGAAAATAAAACGTAGAAGTCGGAAAGATGCGTTTTCAATTGAGATGCAAAAGAGGAAAAAAAAAGTGAAGAATGAACTAGAATTGGAATTGAAGGGAGTAAAAGATGATCTGGAATGTCGTGTGTTAAGAGAGAAAATTTCTCGAAAGATGCCTCTACACTACGAACCTTGGAAATCGAGTTTAATACGTTTATTACGCCAATCACAGCCTTCACGGGGGGAAATCGAACTAAAACGAAAGAAGAAACGTGTGGAGATTGATATATTAGAAATGAAATTGAAAGAAATAAAATCAAAATGGTCGTCGAAGACCTCAACCGTGGAGGAAGAAGTGAATGAAATGGAAGAGATGGAAGAAATGAATTTAAGGGAGGAAATTAGGCTGAAAAAGAAGAAAAAAGAATTGGAGATTGAAATATTAGAAATAAAGTCAGTATTGCCGTTTGAGTTAGAGTTTGAGAGAATGGAGTTGGAAAAAACGAAGGGAAAATTTGTGCTTTCAAAGGAGGAAATGGAATTAAAACGTAAGATGGAATATTTGAAATTTGATATATTAGACGCTAAATTGAAACGAATAACAGAATTAAAAAAAAAATTAGCGCCTTCAGCGAAAGAGATGGACATGAAACAACAGAAAGAAGATGTAGAGTTGCGCTTATTGGAAATGAAATTGAAAAGAATGGAGTCAGAAGCAAAGTTTGGGAAGGGGAAAATAGAGTTGGAAGAAGAGGGAGCATTTTTAGAGTATCACATGTTTGAAATGAAATATAGACGAGAAAAATTAAAACTGCATTTTCTAGAGAGGAAGAAAGAAATGAGGAGTGAGGAATTTGAATTTAGAGTTCGGCAAAGAGAGGAAGAATGGCAAAAAGGTGAAGTATGGAAAGAAGAGGAGGAAAGGAAAAAAGAGAAAAAATTGAAAAAAGAGGAAGAATGGCACGAAGAGGAGAAATTGCAAGAAGAGAGAGAAAGAAAAGTAAAATGCGAAAGCCCGTTGGAAATGAATGTGAGAGCGTCCACCGCATGGCATGATGTAATTGTATTTGGTGGACAGGGACAAGATGGAGAAAGTCTTAGATCTGTTGAGAAATATATATTTGACGACCAAAGATGGGTTCCCATGCCCTCGATGAATACCCCTCGTGCTTTCTTGTCAGCAGTCATTGTTGGTAATGAAGTTGTTGTCAGCGGTGGTGATACCGGCCCAGGAAGAACAGATACTATCGAAATATTAGATCTTGATGAAACTTCACCGCAATGGATCACCTCTGACGCGAGACTGCCTGTTCCACTGTGTGCACATCAGACGGTTGCTCGTGAAGGAAAGTTGATAGTCATCGGGGGAAATGACGACAACGATGATCCTGGAACTGGGGGGAATTCAAACAAAATCTATGAAGTTGACCTCGCACATCCCTACCCCGCCAGAATTTTGTGCAATCTCCCTCAACCATTGTCATGGCATGGCGCTGAGATGATTGACGATAGAATATTCATCTTTGGTGGAGGAAGAGGCTTCACTAACCCATACAATCAGATCTTGGTATTTGATCCTAGCACCAACACTTGTCTCCAAAGAGTTGAAAGTTTACCTTACCGCGTCCAAGGAATGGCGACAATATTTTGCGCAAACAGAGTCCTACTTCTGGGAGGCGTTGATGCTGGTGGTCAAGAATTAAACACCGTCATTTCGTACGACGTAACGTCAGGTGTAACGACGCCATTGACTCCAATGCAGCAGCCAAGAGGTGGTTGTACAGCTGTCGGACGTACCACCATTCAGGGACAGCAACAGCAACAAGAACGAGGTGAGGTTGTCGCGTTAGGAGGTTTGGGAAACCTTAACACAGTTGAAAGATGCGTTCTTGGTATAAACGTCTGGAGCGATTTGCCTCCCACATTAGAAGCTCGACAATTATGCACAGCGGTCGTTTCTTCTGCAACAGCGGTCTTTTCTTTTGCGACTGGCAACGCATAGTAAAATACAGTGGGAATTCCTCTCATATGCAATGTCAGAACAGGCCTTAATGTATAAAAAACGCTGCACATATATCCTTCGTTTGCTTTTTATAACACAACAGTATCGTAATTGCTTATTAAACTTCGATATCAAAACTCTATTAGCAAAGAAACATTCGAACAATTAACTTAATATCTTAATATCTTAATGGACAAACATTTTTACCATTATACATTTTTATCATTGGGTATAAATTTAGACCTAAATATTTCTAATAGATAAAGATAATTTTCTTCAAAAATTTTTGTAATTTTAGCTTTATTTCAAAATTACACCACTGTACTGTATATCTATAATCAACAATATTCTAAAGACACAATTCACACTCATTTGCAATTCTTATTAAAAATTTTCAATACTTATTGAAGAATGCAGTTTGCAAAACAAAACTCCAGTTCTATATATTGCGATCATTGCCCAGGCACTCGAATGGCAAATGGAGAACTCCAATGACTTTGTCCAACAATGTTGATTGCGGCGACTCGAAATTGTACCCGATTTTGCAGTGGATTCATTTGCATGTCTGGTTTGCATTTCACATCGCCCAAAATACTGCCATCTTGTGTGTTGACTGAAACACTTGTTGAACTGCCTTTATACAAATCTATATATCCATTTTCTTCACCTACATTGCAAAATAAAGAAACGTAAGTTTAGGTTTCCTCCTGTAGTAGCACTGGATCAATAAGAGATGATCCTTACTGGACCTCTAGGAAGAACAGTTTAGAACTGATAGAGCTATCCAGTATAAATAAAGTTAGTTTAGTTTAGGTTTCCTCCTGTAGTAACACTGGATCAATAAGAGATGATCCTTACTGGACCTCTAGGAAGAACAGTTTAGAACTGATCGTGAACGTGTCCTACCTGTATCACTCTGTAAAAGGTACTCCTGTACTGGATAGATGAACGGTCTCGCGGGAGGTGGACTCCACTGAATTGATATGACAGTTGGCTCAATTAGTCTACAACTCAGCTGGACTGGTACGTCTGGAACTAATTTCAAAAGAATTTCAATTATAATATATCGGCAAAAAATCAATATTTTTAGATCGATCTAAGATTATTTCCACCCACCTGCGACAATTTTTGCACAAGTTCTTAGTTCGTTAAGTAATGTTTCCTGTTTTGGAAATTGACAGAGAAGTTTGGAAGAAACGCATGGCACAGTCTTGCATTCCATCTTAAGGACATTCTTGACGTCATTTTCAACATCTTTTTTGGCGTCCATCAAACCAAAGTAGTCCAGACTTAAAATTTCGTCACATTTTCGACTCGCGGTTTTTGCACGGCTTGAAATCTCGATCATTGAACTGAAAAGAGAAGATAGTCGTAGATTTTTAGAATCTGAGCGGGCAATAGAAAAGTGTCTGTATTAGAGAGGTGTTTGTGTTATAGAGAGATGTCGATATTGTAGAAATGTTTCTATTAGAGAGATGTCTGTATTAGAGAGATGTCTGTATTAGAGAGACGTCTGTATTAGAGAGATGTCTGTATTAGAGAGACGTCTTTATGTATTAGAGAGATGTCTGTATTAGAGAGACGTCTTTATGTATTAAAGAGATGTCTGTATTAGAGAGATGTCTGTATTAGAGAGGTGTTGTATTAGAGAGGTGTCTGTATTAGAGCGGTGTCTGTATTACAGAGGTGTCTGTATTAGAGAGATGTCTGTATTAGAGAGATGTCTGTATTAGAGAGATGTCTGTATTAGAGAGGTGTCTGTATTAGAGAGGCGTCTGTATTAGAGAGATGTCTGTATTAGAGAGATGTCTGTATTAGAGAGATGTCTGTATTAGAGAGATGTCTGTATTAGAGAGATGTCTGTATTAGAGAGACGTCTGTATTAGAGAGAGATTTCTGTATTAGAGAGGTGTCTGTATTAGAGAGATTTCTGTATTAGAGAGATGTCTGTATTAGAGAGATGTCTGTATTAGAGAGGTGTTTGTATTAGAGAGATGTCTGTATTAGAGAGATGTCTGTATTAGAGAGGCGTCTGTATTAGAGAGATGTCTGTATTAGAGAGATGTCTGTATTAGAGAGATGTCTGTATTAGAGAGATGTCTGTATTAGAGAGATGTCTATATTAGAGAGGGGTCTGTATTAGAGAGATGTCTGTATTAGAGAGATGCCTGTATTAGAGAGATGTCTGTATTAGAGAGGCGTCTGTATTAGAGAGTTGCCTGTATTAGAGAGGTGTCTGTATTAGAGAGGTGTCTGTACTAGAGAGGTGTCTGTATTAGAGAGGTGTCCGTATTTGCGAGGTGTCTGTATTAAAGGGTTTTCATTACCTCAGCTGTTCGTTAAGCGATCTTAAAGTGGCTTTATTCCGCTTATCAATTTCCTCCAAGATGATTTTCTCTCCATGATCAATCGACGTCTTCAGTTCACGAAAATACCTTCTAACAAGATCCTGGACTCGAATATCGTTTCGTTTCGTTTCCTCGATAGATTTTTGAACGTCGCTACGAGATTTTATATATTTCTCGCCATATTCGTCAACTTTTTGCTGCAAACGGCACAGACCTCTCTTGTCGAGGTCCTCAGCTTCGTGAATATGGAGAGTTTTGTGATCTTTGTGGCTGCCTTCGATTTCACAGAAAGTACAACAAACCACTTTGCATTCGTTGCAATAAAGCTTGAGTTTCTCACCATGCTCTTCACAATCTAAGAGATAGATGAATGGTTTTAGTACTGAGGAGCAAGGTATGTACTAAAGTAGGTTACATCTGGGTCCAAGAAACACTGACAGATAGTTTTGTTAACTTATTAACTGACAGTACTCTTTCACTGATGAGTAAAATCATCTGACATTAGACAGAGTAAAATACTAAAGTAGGTCACATCTGGGTGCATTGCAAGCTAATGGGTTACAAGAGACACTGACAGATAGTTTTGTTAACTTATTAACTGACAGTACTCTTCCACTGATGAGTAAAATCATCTGGCATTAGACAGAGTAAAATACTAAAGTAGGTCACATCTGGGTGCATTGCAAGCTAATGAGTTAACAAGAGACACTGACAGATAGTTTTGTTAACTTATTAACTGACAGTACTCTTCCACTGATGAGTAAAATCATCTGGCATTAGACAGAGTAAAATACTAAAGTAGGTCACATCTGGGTGCATTGCAAGCTAATGGGTTAACAAGAGACACTGACAGATAGTTTTGTTAACTTATTAACTGAATCTTACGTCATAACAAACCTGGTAACGAGTCCAAAGAGCTGTTATATCGTCTCAGAGTTGGCCTGCCGGAGCCTTTCCTCGGTCCAACACCCGACAGAGGTCTTTTCGGCGTAATCTCGTTATCATTGCCGTCTGTTTCAGCGCTGGCAAGGGAGATATTGTGCATGCGAAACTCGAGTTGTTTGTGAATTTCGTCGCAGCAAACACCACAGAATAGAACTCCACAATCACGACAGTTTAACGTCGCTGGTCTCGGAGGATAGACTAGTTTTCTGATGCAGAAATTACAGAGTTCCTGGTCCGCTTCGCTCTCTTCCATAGCTGCCGTTAGGAGCTCATAGTTCTTGCTTAAACCCAACACGCCGTTCAGAGGAAGCAACGAACGAACTTTACAGCGCGGGCAATCTAATACATCGCCTTGGTATTCTTGAAGTTTTAGCAAACAGCCTAAAAATGAAATATATCATCAGGTGATCTGAACAAAAGCTTTTTATACTGGATAGCTCTATCAGTGATCAGTTCAGTAAGGATCATCTCTTATTCATCCAGTGTTACTACAGGAGGAAACCTAAACTAAACTAACTTTATTTATACTGGATAGCTCTATCAGTTCTAAACTGTTCTTTCTAGAGGTCCAGTAAGGATCATCTCTTATTGATCCAGTGTTACTACAAGAGGAAACCTAAACGAAACTAACTTTATTTATGCTGGATAACTCTATCAGTTCTAAACTGTTCTTCCTAGAGGTCCAGTAAGGATCATCTCTTATTGATCCAGTGTTACTACAGGAGGAAACCTAAACTAAACTAACTTTATTTATACTGGATCTGGCTCTATCAGTTCTAAACTGTTCTTCCTAGAGGTCGAGTAAGGATTAAACTTATATTGGCTTTACAAATTGCATTATAAGACTAACGAATTAAGATATGAGCATAATAAGAAAGAATTTAACGATTGATGATAGCGCTGTTCATATATTGCAAGGAATTTCCAATAATAAACGATTTATAAACAAATGTATCAAATTATCAATAAGTCGCAAAATAAGCGCATCAGTGAATCCATATTTCCTGTATAGTAAAGTATTTCATCGTCTAGTTCTCGGTGTAAAAATTCACGAAAGCATACCCTTGCCTTAAATTAAGTTTGCTAGCATTGTCGATCAGTATAACTTTATCAAATCGTAGAGAAATACCTGTGCAATACGTGTGCAAGCAATTCAGATTTCTTGGGATGTATTCCGGTCGCTTCGAGGTGAATTTAGTGAAACAGATTACGCAGTGTAAATTCCTTTTAGCTGTTACGGCGTCGTTGCTCATGCTTAATGATTTTTGCCAAACAAATCGTTAATACTTTAATTCCTTTTTTAAAGCTGTAACATTTAAATGCAAATGTTGAAATCACAACAAACTAAATTATTGAAATGAACCCGTTTGTTGATGAACAGCGCGCCATGGAAACGACGTGGAGTTTAAATAAACGGAATTTGACACCATGGTCTGTTAACCATTAGTTTGCAATGCACACAGATGTGGCCTACTTTAGTATTTTACTCTGTCTAATGTCAGATGATTTTACTCATCAGTGGAAGACTACTGCCAGTTAATAAGTTAACAAAACTATCTGTCAGTGTCTCTTGTTAACCCATTAGCTTGCAATACACCCAGATGTGGCCTACTTTAGTATTTTACTCTGTCTAATTTCGTTTCAGATGATTTTACTCATCAGTGGAAGAGTACTGTCAGTAAATAAGTTAACAAAACTATCTGTCAGTGTCTCTTGTTAACCCATTAGCTTGCAATGCATCCAGATGTGGCCTACTTTAGTATTTTACTCTGTCTAATGCCAGATGATTTTACTCATCAGTGGAAGAGTACTGTCAGTTAATAAGTTAACAAAACTATCTGTCAGTGTCTCTTGTTAACCCATTAGCTTGCAATGCACCCAGATGTGACCTACTTTAGTATTTTACTCTGTCTAATGTCAGATGATTTTACTCATCAGTGGAAGAGTACTGTCAGTTATTAAATAACATTATAAGCAACTCTATTATCATTAATCCAGTGCTTTTATTCAGTCCAGAGAGTTTTATTTATAGCTACCGAACTTGTCCGATACTCTTCCGGAGGGAACACGTCGCCTTCTCGTGGATGGAAAATACAAGAAATGTCAAGATATCTCGAATAATAAAACCTCGTGTTTTACTGTGTTTTTATTGCAAAAATAATTGAAAATTTGGTTTGTTTTGAAATGTCTGCCGAAGAAAAATTACTCTGTTACAACCGTGGCTGTGGGAAACAGTTTCTGGAAAGCGAAAATAACGATGGTAAGTCATTCAAATCTTGTTTTATTTGGGCACGATTTTGCCTCAATTTTCAGTATGAAAATTTACTCAATTCGGAAGTCATTGAATGAATACACAAGACCGCCAACTTAGTGGGGATCTGTTTTAAACTCTGAATGCCAGATGATTTTACTCACCAGTGGAAGAGTATTGTCAGTTAATAAGTTAACAAAACTATCTGTCAGTATCTCTTGTTAACCCATTAGCTTGCAATGCACCCAGATGTGACCTACTTTAGTATTTTACTCTGTCTAATGCCAGATGATTTTACTGGTGGAATAATTTTGAAATAATTTTCTTATTAGATGTTTGCACACATCATCCTGGAATGCCAGTTTTCCATGATGCACTAAAAGTATGTATTTTAACCCTAGAACCACAACCTTACAGTGCATAGTACTTTAGACTATTTCATGGTGCAAGTATTAATTACTTTCACTAATTCATATTATCTCAATAGGGCTGGTCTTGCTGTCAAAGAAGAGTTACGGATTTCACAGAATTTCTTAACATAGCTGTAAGTACTGAACTAAGGATTCTTTCCATAATCATATTTGCAATCTGAGGACATCTTTGTAATCTAAGGATTACAAATCTAGTTCCTTAAACTCCTGGGGCCGGTTGTATCAAGCCTGTTAAATAGCTTAAATGGTGGGTAAGTTCAAAATACAAAGCAAGTCTATTGCACCCCTCTGGATAGAGGATCAAATTGTACAAAGGATTACAAAGGATTTTTTTACATTACAACTCTAAATAATCTTTAAGTTAAATCAGGGGTTAAACCATGGTTTGTTTTAGCTGGTACTTTTGCTAAACTTGGGGTACAATTGATAGCATCTTGCAATTATTATTGAACTCTGTATGTTGCTTGAAACTTTACCTAAACTCACATAATCCAACTTGATTCAATCTTATGATTGATTTTAAAAAGCTGAAGTATTTTTTTGTAATTTTTAAGGGATGTAGAAAGTCGAAACATTCGAATGTTAAACCACCTGAACCGGAAGTTAAACCTAAAAATGCTGCTGCAGATATTCCTGTAAGTATTCCGGTATTATTTTTACTCTTTGCTTATAAGGATTGAAGTATATACATTTTGTAACATTGCTTGAATTGATTTACCGAGGGTCTGGTTTTGGGCCCTCCTAGGGACTGGTCTGCAACCCTGCGACATCTATCTGTGTACTATTGCAAATTGCAAAATTGAGGGGTGGGTGTCATTACTCCCCCATGTATGATTTTATGGGGGGTGGGTGTCATGTTCTCTTAATTATCTTATGTATGATATTATGAAGGATGGGTGTCATGTTCTCTTATCTTATGTATTATATTATGGGGGATGGGTGTCATGTTCTCTTATCGTATGTATGATATTATGGGGGGTGGGTGTCATATTCTCTTATCTTATGTATGATATTATGAAGGATGGGTGTCATGTTCTCTTATCTTATGTATGATATTATGAAGGATGGGTGTCATGTTCTCTTATCTTATGTATTATATTATGAAGGATGGGTGTCATATTCTCTTATCTTATGTATGATATTATGAGGGGTGGATGTCATAATCTCTTATCTTATGTATGATATTATGAGGGGTGGATGTCATATTCTCTTATCTTATGTATGATATTATGGGGGGTGGATGTCATGTTATCTTATCTTATGTATGATATTATGAGGGGTGGGTGTCATGATCTCTTATCTTATGTATGATATTATGGGAGGTGGATGTCATATTCTCTTATCTTATGTATGATATTATGGGGGGTGGATGTCATGTTATCTTATCTTATGTATGATATTATGAGGGGTGGGTGTCATGATCTCTTATCTTATGTATGATATTATGGGGGGTGGATGTCATATTCTCTTATCTTATGTATGATATTATGAGGGGTGGGTGTCATGATCTCTTATCTTATGTATGATATTATGGGGGGTGGGTGTCATGTTCTCTTATCTTATGTATGATATTATGAGGGGTGGATGTCATATTCTCTTATCTTATGTATGATATTATGAGGGGTGGGTGTCATGTTCTCTTATCTTATGTATGATATTATGAGAGGTGGGTGTCATGTTCTCTTATCTTATGTATGATATTATGAGGGGTGGATGTCATATTCTCTTATCTTATGTATGATATTATGGGAGGTGGGTGTCATGTTCTCTTATCTTATGTATGATATTATGGGAGGTGGGTGTCATGCTCTCTTATCTTATGTATGATATTATGGGGGGTGGGTGTCATGATCTCTTATCTTATGTATGATATTATGGGGGGTGGGTGTCATGTTCTCTTATCTTATGTATGATATTATGGGGGGTGGGTGTCATGTTCTCTTATCTTATGTATGATATTATGAGGGGTGGGTGTCATGTTCTCTTATCTTATGTATGATATGGGGGGTGGGTGTCATGTTCTCTTATCTTATCTTATGTATGATATTATGGGGGGTGGGTGTCATGATCTCTTATCTTATGTGTGATATTATGAGGGGTGGGTGTCATGATCTCTTATCTTATGTATGATATTATGGGGGGTGGGTGTCATGTTCTCTTATCTTATCTTATTTATGATATTATGGGGGGGTGGTGTCATGTTCTCTTATCTTATCTTATCTTATGTATGATATTATGGGGGGTGGGTGTCACATTCTCTTATCTTATCTTATATATGATATTATGGGGGGTAGGTGTCATGTTCTCTTATCTTATCTTATGTATGATATTATGGGGGGTGGGTGTCATGATCTCTTATCTTATGTATGATATTATGGGGGGTGGGTGTCATGTTCTCTTATCTTATCTTATGTATGATATTATGGGGGGTGGGTGTCATGTTCTCTTATCTTATCTTATGTATGATATTATGGGGGGTGGGTGTAATGCTCTCTATGGATAATATTATGAGGGGTGGGTGTCATACAAAAAAAAATCAATTTTCAGTCAGTTAGATTTGCTCCACGTCTCTGTAGTGTGTGAGAAATACTATTTTACTCAGTACTAAGTAAATAATAAGACAATTTAGGAAAAACAAATCAAATCAACACATGATGTAAACAAGCATTTGTTGATAACACTTGTTTAATCGTTGTTTAGATAGCAAGTCATGGTCAAACCACACACAGGAAAGCTGAAGAAAAAATTCAAGAAATTAGACCAAGGTACTGTGTGGATAACATTGTAAGTTGCTCTCGTAAACATGTCTTCTCATACACAACTTAACCAAGAGATATTGGCTTTTGGTTCATGGTAATGACTAAGTTTGTAAATTTAATCGTCTTGTAAGATTCACAGAAAGCATTGGTGTAGCGAGCATCGATAATCAGAGGGGGAGGCACATATTCGTATATAAATATTCATCTAAAAAACCATTTCAAAGGAATTGGTCACGCTGACTCACACACAACATGGATATATGAATATTGCTCTGCCAATTATTAAGGCTGGCTACGCCACTGACAGAAATATATTAACAAGACTAGTATCTCGACAAACTTAGCCAACACTTTGTATTTGAGGCTATATTTTTGGAGCTTTGACTCTTGCTTGTATATTATGATCATGCTAGGTTTTTGGTTCAATTCTCGGCATGGTCAAGCTAACTTTCAGCTTGCCTGGTTGGTGACTCAGAGTTAAGCACCATCACAGTATTAATTTACCGAGGTCATAGACACAATCACTGACATTCAAGTTTTGGAAGGGACTAGATTAAGTTCCAAAATATCACATATTTAAACCTTCTTGACCAAGTAGCTTAGTTGCAAGAGCATTGGACTATCAGACCGAAGGTCTCAGGTTCAATTTGACCATGGTGAAGTTGGTAACTCAGTGTAGCATCATAATATCAATTCACCTCTGTCATACACGCAATCATTCTGGGGCCGGTTGTATGAAAGCTGGATAGCGTTACCCGCCAGATAATGATTTTTTCAACAGTTGTAAACATGCCTGAGGTTTGATCAAAGCTATACAGATCAACAATAAAGAATTAGAGCGATTGAAAAAAGCACCATCCGTTGCATAGCACTATCCAGCTTTCATACAATCGGGCCCTGGTATAGTATAACCAGAATACTGTGTTCACAATTGGTATTTTTTAATCAGAATATCTTTAGATTATATTTTGTGTTGTATATTTTATTCATGCATTCCTAAATTTCTTCTTTTCTAGTGATGATCTACCATATCAAAAACTAAAGTTTAGTGTCTCGGATTCACTCAAGAAAGCTTTGGAGAGACACATTGAATCCATTACAAATAATGATGGTAAGTTTTACTTGTTGTTGTCATTCTGTCCGATTTTTCAAAGCTTGAGTACTTAAGTCTTTCTGAATTTGTTGCTTCAAAGTTAAACTAAGTTGTCTTAAACTATACAACCCTGAGAATGGAGAATGCATCTTCAATAATATTACCAGTTAGTTTTAATTAAATAGTAAGTGTCATGAGTAAATGGTGTATGTATGATACTCTTACATTGGGCAAAGGGCACAGGGCTGCCCTTGCTAACCCCCATCAGCAAAGGGCTGTGGGGGCATCTTGCCCTGGGCACCCCTGAGAGCAATCGAAAAGGTTTGATCCGTAACTGGCTGGTTGATGGTCAATGTAGAAAGTTGCAAGAAAATGTTTTGACTGGGTTAAGTTTTGAAGTATATTATGTGCTAAGAGATGGAGGCAGGGAAGAGGAACAAATACAAGGGGGGTGTAGTGCTCAGAGAAGAGGGCAGGGAAGTGGGACAGATACCAGGGGGTGTAGTCCTCAGAGAAGAGGGCAGGGAAGTGGGACAGATACCAGGGGGGTAGTCCTCAGAGAAGAGGGCAGGGAAGTGGGACAGATACCAGGGGGTGTAGTGCTCAGAGGGGGGGCAGGGAAAATACCAGGGGGTGTAGTGCTCAGAGAAGAGGGCAGGGAAGTGGGACAGATACCAGGGGGTGTAGTCCTCAGAGAAGAGGGCAGGGAAGTGGGACAGATACCAGGGGGTGTAGTCCTCAGAGAAGAGGGCAGGGAAGTGGGACAGATACCAGGGGGTGTAGTGCTCAGAGGGGGGGCAGGGAAAATACCAGGGGGTGTAGTGCTCAGAGAGGGGGGGAGGGAAAGAGACAAACTAGTGATGGCTTTGTTGATTGTGGGCGATATGTGGAAGGGACTGTGACTCATCGGGGTTTTTTGGGGGGTCTCTGGTCAACTCTCACAGGCCCTAATAAAAGTTCATGTTTATTTTGAAATACTTTGTAGAAAACGTAGAATCTGGTGTGGTACAGAAAGGAACGACGTGTAAAAATAATGCTTGTAATGAGGTACTGTGTCTAACTGCAATTCATAGAACAATATACTGCAAATGTGATTTCATTCTCTTGAGTTGCCTAGTTTTCTATGATTGCTGTTTTCAGCTTTTTAATGTTTGTATATAAGCGCCAAACATGCTGGAAACTTTACAGAGGACAAGCATTTGACCATTAAAACGTGGTTAAAGCGTGGTTATCCATTTCAAAATATTTGACATCATAACCAAAGCAAGGTTATATTGTTTAATGTTTGTTATGAGCGCCAAACATGCTGGAAACTTTACATAGGACAAGCATTTGACCATTAAAACAGCGTGGTTATCCATTTCAAAATATTTGACATCATAACCAAAGCATGGTTATATTGTTTAATGTTTGTTATGAGCGCCAAACATGCTGGAAACTTTACATAGGACAAGCATTTGACCATTAATGGTTAGGGTTATCCATGGGTTAGGGTTATCCATTTCAAAATATTTGACATCATAACCAAAGCATGGTTATATTGTTTAATGTTTGTTATGAGCGGCAAACATGCTGGAAACTTTGCATAGTATGTATTATTTTCCAATAATCCTTTGAGAGGCATTTGCGTCGATTTCAAAGGCCTATGTATATTTCAAAATTTTCCCGGACTCTCCTAGCAGGCGCGCGGTTCCGAGCCCCAGCAATACGAAAAACGCTCCGCGGTCCCTGGTTTTACCTGAATGCTGAATTAATACTTCTTTGATTTTTCAAGCAAAGGGCTTCTTGCTAGCAGAAAAGTCATTCATTTAGCAACAATAATTTTATCATATGTTTCATCCAGGTTTATGTTGATGAAAACACAAATGGAAAGACGTGTAAATATCATACTGGCAGTCCTATTTTTCACGAAGGGTGAGTTTCGCTTTCATTTATCGCTAAAGCACGTCAAGATATTATAGCATGTTTACAATTGCAATTTTTGCAGCAATTTTATGTGCGATTTTCGGGCATTGCGAAGTGATTCGGCGGGCATCTCAAGCGGCAGTTTCGTTCAATAAACAGGCTAATGCTAAATGGACGACTTGCGTTTTAGACTAATTTTTGATCGAAGTAACTAGAAGAAAATAAATCATCACAGCTAGAAAGATCTTACTTAAATTAGTGCAAATGCAAAGTTTGGCTGTGAAATTTTGTAAATTACGGAAAATATAGCCACGCGAAGTTGGCATATTTAGTATACTTTTGTATTACGTGCGGAAATGTGTAACTAAATTAGTTACAAACTTCCGGCCGTAATACAAAAGTATACAAAATTCGTCAAGTTCGCATGGCTATATTTTCCGTATTTTACAACAATTCGCAGCCAAACTTGGCAGTTTTACTAATTTTAGTAAGCTTTTTCAGAAAATGTTCTTTTTATTAGATGCTCACAGAATTTAGGAGTTGATAGTTAGGCCAGGCAAATGGACGACTTGCGCTTTAGACTAATTTCTTACCTCGGCAATAAAAAGGACATTTTCTGAAAGATCTTACTTAAGTTAGTGCAAATGCAAAGTTTGGCTGCGAAATTTAGTAAAATACGGGAAATATAGCCATGCGAAGTTGTCGATTTTTGTATACTTTTGTATTACGTGCGGAAATGTTTAACTAAATTAGTTACAAACTTCCGGCCGTAATACAAAAGTATACAAAATTTGCCAACTTCGCGTGGCTATATTTTACGTATTTTACAAAATTTCGCAGCCAAACTTTGCATTTGCACTAATTTAAGTAAGATCTTTCTAGCTGTGATGATTTATTTTCTTCTAGTTACTTCGATCAAAAATTAGTCTAAAGCGCAAGTCGTCCATTAACTATTAATAAATTCATGTGGTCAGTAAAAATTGTTCAAGTTGGTCATACAGCAAGCTTTTCTTTCATTGTGTGACTGTAAATATAAATCGAAGTCTAAATATGTGTCTTTGACTGATACCACAAAATGAAATCCATGTTTTATTGGGAGAAACTGCCCACAGTTTAAAATTTCTAAAGGCCTGGCTGATAATGGATTTGTAGACCCAACCACAGTAACATTCTTTTTCGTTGCAGGTATAAATTTTGGAGCTGTTGCATGCGGAAGACATCGGATTTTGATGAATTCTTAAAGCAAGAGGGATGCAGTAGTGGTAATCATGTTTGGTTCTTAACAGACGAGGCAAGAAATTAACAATAATACTTTGTTATGTATTTAGCAATTCAACCCAAAAATCTTTTTAATGAATCCAAATTAGAATGGAAGTATGGTGTATTGCAAGCTAATAGGTTAACAAGAGACACTGACAGATAGTTTTGTTAACTTATTAACTGACAATACTCTTCCACTGATGAGTAAAATCATCTGGCATTAGACAGAGTAAAATACTAAAGTAGGCCACATCTGGGTGCATTGCAAGCTAATGGGTTAAACAAGAGACCTGACAAATAGTTTTATTCTTTAACTGAGAGTACTCTTCCACTCATAAGTAAAATCATTTGGCATTAGACAGAGTAAAATACTAAAGTAGGTCACATCTGGGTGCATTGCAAGCTAATGGGTTAACAAGAGACACTGACAAATAGTTTTATTAACTTATTAACTGAGAGTACTCTTCCACTCATAAGTAAAATCATTTGGCATTAGACAGAGTAAAATACTAAAGTAGGTCACATCTGGGTGCATTGCAAGCTAATGGGTTAACAAGAGACACTGACAGATAGTTTTGTTAACTTATTAACTGACAGTATTCTTCCACTGATGAGTAAAATCATTTGGCATTAGACAAAGTAAAATACTAAAGTAGGTCACATCTGGGTGCATTGCAAGCTAATGGGTTAACAAGAGACACTGACAGATAGTTTTGTTAAATTATTAACTGGCAGTACTCTTCCACTGATGAGTAAAATCATCTGACATTAGACAGAGTAAAATACTAAAGTAGGCCACATCTGAGTGCATTGCAAGCTAATGGGTTAACAAGAGACACTGACAGATAGTTTTGTTAACTTATTAACTGACAATACTCTTCCATTGATAAATCTATTCTTTCTGCTTTTAGCAAAAGAAAAAAGCTGTGATGTGCCGGTAAGAATGGTATTGTGAACATAAAGTGTTTTGAACATTAAAGTTGTTTAATAGAGTGATTGACTCAGCAATTCACCCATCTCAAAATTTTTTTTTATTTATCTTGTCAGATTTGATCATTATCAAATGGGAATGACGGTTGTGATTTCAATTTATGCAAAGCTTTGTGATCCTGCAAAATCATTTGTAGAAGCAAATTGCACTTGTGTAAGTGTTTCAAGTTATAACCAATAAGAGATGACCCTTACTGGACCTCTAGGAAGAACAGTTTAGAACTGATAGAGCTATCCAGGATAAATAAAGTTAGTTTAGTTTAGGTTTCCTCCTGTAGTAACACTGGATCAATAAGAGATGATCCTTACTGGACCTCTAGGAAGAACAGTTTAGAACTGATAGAGCTATCCAGTATAAATAAAGTTAGTTTAGTTTAGGTTTCCTCCTGTAGTAACACTGGATCAATAAGAGATGATCCTTACTGGACCTCTAGGAAGAACAGTTTAGAACTGATAGAGCTATCCAGTATAAATAAAGTTAGTTTAGTTTAGGTTTCCTCCTGTAGTAACACTGGATCAATAAGAGATGATCCTTACTGGACCTCTAGGAAGAACAGTTTAGAACTGATAGAGCTATCCAGTATAAATAAAGTTAGTTTAGTTCAGTTTTCCTCCTTTAGTAACACTGGATCAATAAGAGATGATCCTTACTGGACCTCTAGGAAGAACAGTTTAGAACTGATAGAGCTATCCAGTATAAATAAAGTTAGTTTAGTTCAGTTTTCCTCCTGTAGTAACACTGGATCAATAAGAGATGATCCTTACTAGACCTTTTAGAACTGATAGAGCATAAATGGAGTATAAATATATTTCTTTTTTTAGCTCAAAGCATGTTTCGTTTTTGGAAATTCTTCAAAATTTGATTTAGACATAAAGTTACATGGCGTAAGTGTCTTGTTTGATTTTTTTTCTAATTTACCTTGAAACTATTAAGCTAGTCTAAAATCCAATTTTTGAAGCTTCAATGGACGACTTGCGCTTTAGACTAACTTTTGATGGAAGTAACTAGAGGAAAATAAATCACCCCAACTAGAAAGATCTTACTTAAATAAGTAAAACTGCCAAGTTTGGCTGCGAAATTTTGTAAAATACGGAAAATATAGCCATGCGAAGTTGGCAAATTTTGTATACTTTGGTATTACAGCCGGAAATGTGTAACTAAATTAGTTACAAACTTCCGGTCTAGTCGTAATAATACAAAAGTATACAAAAATCGACAACTTCGCATGGCTATATTTTCCGTATTTTACAAAATTTCGCTGTCAAACTTGGCATAATAACTAATTTTAGTAAGATCTTTCAGAAAATGTCCGAGCTGAGGTAAGAAATTAGTCTAAAGCGCAAGTCGTCCATTGTGATTTGAGATTAAATCAATTCCTTCATCCGTCGTATAATTTGTTTCTTTTTGTATAAATAACAATTACTCTTTTTTGTTTTACCAATATTTAGGTCATCGACCCAATTAAAAGCTCAGTCATATATTCTGCAACAAAGGTAGAAATTAAACTAAAGAAAAGCCAAGCCTCAAATTGGCCACGATTGGAACTAAATTCCTAATGAGGTAAGAAACTGCATGAGACTGTGGTGTAAAGGCTAGTTTCCACTCAGGAAAAATCTCCTTTGGATCGGAACGGACAGGAAAATTTCCTTTGTTGGTGAGTTCTCAGGCGGCGTTTATACATACAAAGGAAACTTTCCTGTCCTGTCCGATCCAAAGGAGAATTTTCCTGAGTAGAAACTAGCCTTCACGGACGTGAGGTAGGGTTAGGACAAGAACTAAGGGCCCCCGACCGTTGGGGTCCTCCCAGAGGGCCTTCATTGATTGCTGTCTGTCGCCACGATTTTTAAAGAAAAACGGCGAGTCAGTGTATCGCATAAAAAAGTTCGGTTAAAAACAAATTGTTATGCCGAAGATAGGCCTAGGGTATGAGGTTGATTACAAAGGAAAATGCAGCATTAATGATGGTAGATTAAATAATAGATTATCCATCGACCATGGCTGAATTTTCTATCCATTATCCATGTTCTATTACTTCTATAACTAATGAAGTAATACACTAATGTAAATTTACAAGCTTCAGCTCTGAAATTATATTTTTCAAGTGAAAACATGACAAACAGCTATGGGACCCCACATCAAATATAGGAGCTCCACACAAAAAAAAGGGCCCTCATCTTCGTGCGTTACGCCACTGATTATTTTGAAACTCACTTCAATGCTGCTGACTAAACTTAAAATTGTGAAAATTATCTGTTAAACTTGTGAGTTGTGTGAATGTTAATGTGTGGTTTGTATTTTTTAGACAAGTTTTGCAACAACGGTAAAGATGCTTCTGTTTTTTCTCACACTTCAAATCGCCAGTTGATAGACTACAGAATATGTACTTATTCACTGCAAATTTGCAATTAACATATGATGCCATCTTGAAGGTGAAAAGCCCAACTTATCTATCGCTTAAACTATTTAGATAGAATTGCATTTCATTTATCAAATACATGGGTGGAGAAAATAGAGTTTCAAGTTGTGTTTTTGGGTAACATGTTGTTATTCTCCTTTTTCTTACCAAAATAAAGAAAAAAAGGTAGACATTCACTGCGAGCAGTGATGGCCTAGTGCTTTCAAAAATGCTTAGGTCCTGTTTATATGATCCCGCCTAGCCGGGACGGGACAGTTTCCGAGATCCCGCTTGTAATACAAACACTAATTAGTGTTTATATGACCACTTTTCCATCCCGCCTAGGCGGGATCCCTGCACTTCCTGCGGGATCCCGATTAGACGGGACGAGAAATTGCCATATAAACACTCCATCGCGCTTGCCCGGGATGATTCGCGATTAACATACATTAGGAGCATGTGTGTATATTGGCATATTCGTTTTCTACAATAAAACATGCCGTCGAAGGAACCTGCACTACAAAATGAACTCCATATAAACACGCCATCCCGCCTAGGCAAGTTTCCTGGCTAAGCGGGATGAAAACATCCCGTCCCGGCTAGACGAGATCATATAAACAGGCCCTAAGAATGAAACATAATTGTTACAGATTTACAGCTGCCCCTGATAGCAAACCTTTAATGTAACTAAAGTTGATTTTCAAATTGATTTCTTTCAAGCAATCTATTTCATTCAATACAAAAACTGCAAATTATAGACTATATGTTTTTCGATTTATTCTCAATATCAAGGAGAGAAGTTATTAAACGTCTCTTGCAGTAAACAAAATATTACGCTCAGGGTTTGTATAGTTAAGGACAGAATTGGTCAATCAGAGTCATTATTTAACTAGGATTTAACTATGCAAAAGCCTATGTGGTAAGCTGTGCGAACGCGAGCAATGTTTCAACCTTTTCCACCAAATTATTATTTCATCTCATGTAAAAGACTTCAAGAAAAGATTAGCTGAAACAAAAAACTATAGTCTTTCACCAGCATTGATATATATATATATATATATATATATATATATATATATATATATATATATATATATATATATATATATATATATATATATATATATATACACTTACAACTTTCGAAGGGAAATTGAAGCCAGTGCTTTTTACTTTTTCTGAGTTTTGAGCTGAGATACTTGACGCCAAATGTTGAGCCGTCCGTATATGAAATTGAAGCTATTAAAAAGTTACATTTCGTGTAGAAATTTCGAGACTTTAGCTTAAAGGGAAATATCTAAAAAATATTTCATAATTTCACGGTTTTTTGCCGATTGGTAATTGTTTTTGGTTTTTTTCAATATTTCCTTTGTAGTTTAAGTCTTGAAATTTCTACACGAAATATAACTTTTCAATAGCTTTAATTTGACACACAGCCCAAGTCTGGCGTCAAGTATTTCGTCTTAAAACTCAATTTTACATAATAATGCAACACGCGAATGGGACCAAAACAAAAGCGTTTACACGTGCAATTTTGGAGAAGAAGTTAGGCGGGACAATTTGGTCATAGGCCCGGGGACAATCTGGGGTAAAACACGCAATTTGGGGATTTTTGGGGTTTTATTTGGATAAATATAGAAGTTAGGCGGGACAATTTGGTCATAGGCCCGGGGACAATCTCGGGTAAAACATGCAATTTGGGGATTTTTGGGGGTTTATTTGGATAAATAAAGAAGTTAGGTGGGAAATTAAACTTGAGATTACAGGGTTGTTAAGTTAAATAACTCGATTCTGGCTTTTTTATTTTCTGTTTGGCTCGAAAAAAATGTTTGGCCATTTGGCTTTTTTCTGGCTTCTTTTGAAAAATATTTTTCAAAGGATTTTTTCCTTTAAAATGAAGGGCAGTATCTTTTTCTACGTTCTTTTGACCTTTATATCCTGGAAGGATAACCTGGACTGTTAATGTCTGATAAGCTGAAGTGATAATTAAATCACGATCAAAAAGGATATGTGTCAACAGTAAGTACAGTTTATTGGTGGTTTGTTCAAGCACAGATTACCTATATATAGCTATATAGCTAATCTGTGGTTCAAGTCAGACAACACACCTTCCCTAACAACACACCTTCCTACTATTTAACCACAAGTATTCAGTAGCGTAGCCAGCCTGACGATTTGTCCCGCTATGCTAATATTTTGGTGTTCACTGACTGTGAAAACAATAGATTTCTAAAGGCACGAATAATTTTAATAACTCGAAATTTACAAAGCGGGACAAAATCGTCAGGCTGGCTACGCTACCTGCAAGTATTCCTTTCTATTCCAGGTTATGTTAATTGTGGCCAGTGGCGTAGCCAGCCTGACGATTTTGTCCCGCTATGTAAATTTCGAGTTATTACAAATTTAACAATTATTCATGTCTTTAGAAATCAGTTGTTTTCACAGTCAGTGGACACCAAAATATTAGCATAGCGGGACAAATCGACAGGCTGGCTACGCTACTGATTGTGGCGATCTAATTCTTATCAAATAGCTTTTTAACCAGGTAAGTTGTATTCAAAATCACTATGTTGTTTCTGTTCTAATTCTTGTTCCCAGAATATCCAGATGCCTTGAACCAATCACAGGATGACGTCCTTTCTAAGATTAGAATGCTCTTAAATGTGTTGTAACCACTCTATACACTCGACAGAATTTCATTTGCCCTTGTACTGCAGTAGATGGTGATAACCTGTTTAATTTTCCCATTTTGATATAATGATATTACACTGTCGAATTGACGAAACTGTTATTCCATACCAGGTGATATATTTCTTATTTTGTGATGTTGGTCGTCTGACAGTATCTCCTGTCGGCTGTCACAGCTGAGTGTTGGTTTTGCATCTTGGAGTGTTTCTTAACCAAAGATCAGCAGTTCGATCGTTGATGTGTGCAAATCATTTGACAGAAAAATATATTAAACTTTGTTTTAATCAGGAACCCTTGAGATGGAGGAATCTCTTTTTCATGATTTTCAAAGGTAATTAATGTAATTCCTAACATTATTGCTAATTCTGAGAGATGATTTTACTGGACCTCTGGGAAGAACAGTTTAGAACTGATAGAGCTATCCAGTATAAATAAAGTTAGTTTAGTTTAGGTTTCCTCCTGTAGTAACACTGGATCAATAAGAGATTATCCTTACTGGACCTCTAGGAAGAACAGTTTAGAACTGATAGAGCTATCCAGTATAAATAAAGTTAGTTTAGTTTAGGTTTCCTCTAACACTGGATCAATAAGAGATGATCCTTACTGGATCTCTACGAAGAACAGTTTAGAACTGATAGAGCTATCCAGTATAAATAAAGTTAGTTTAGTTTAGGTTTCCTCCTGTAGTAACACTGGATCAATAAGAGATGATCCTTACTGAACCTCTAGGAAGAACAGTTTAAAACTAATCGGATGCATGTAGGCATTTGAGTTATGTTATTTTGTTTGGTGATAGCATCTTTCTTAAGAATATTGATTCATGTTGATTCATTTCATCAACAGATTATATGCTGAGGAAGAGGACACTCTACTACCAGGATTTGTAAAAAAGTAAGTGTTCTATCTTATCTTAAGATGACTAAGACAGTGGTCTTTTGATTCTAAGTGAAGAGTGTGTTCTGAATTTTTAGGCCTTGCTTCTGTTGTGGTATCTCTGGTGTATTTCCTACAGACCCTTGAGATGGAGGAATCTCTTCTTGATGATTTTCAAAGGTAATTAATGTAATTCCTAACATTATTGCTAATTCTGAGAGATGATTTACTGGACCTCTAAGAAGAACAGTTTAGAACTGATAGAGTTATCCAGTATAAATAAAGTTAGTTTAGTTTAGGTTTCCTCCTGTAGTAACACTGGATCAATAAGAGATGATCCTTACTGGACCTTTAGGAAGAACAGTTTACAACTAATAGAATGCATGTAGGCATTTGAGTTATGTTATTGTGTTTGGTGATAGCATCTTTCTTAAGAATATTGATTGATGTTGATTTATTTCATCAACAGATTATATATGCTGAGGAAGAGGACACTCTACTTCCAGGATTTCTAAAAAAGTAAGTGTTCTATCTTATCTTAAGATGACTAAGACAGTGGTCTTTTGATTCTAAGTGAAGAGTGTGTTCTGATCATTTTTAGGCCTTGCTTCTGTTGTGGTATCTCTGGTGTATTTTCTACAGACCCTTGAGATGGAGGAATCTCTTTGTCATGATTTTCAAAGGTAATTAATGTAATTCCTGACATTATTGCTAATTTTGATTTTACTGGAACTCTAGCTTCTAGGAAGAACAGTTTAGAACTAATAGAATGCATGTAGGCATTTGAGTTATGTTATTGTGTTTAGTGATAGCATCTTTCTTAAGAATATTGATTCATGTTGATTTATTTCGTCAACAGATTATATGCTGAGGAAGACGACACTCTACTTCCAGGATTTCTAAAAAAGTAAGTGTTTTATCTTATCTTAAGATGACTAAGACAGTGTTTTTGGATTCTAAGTAAAGAATGTGTTCTGATCATTTTTAGGCCTTGCTTCTGTTGTGGTATCTCTGGTGTATTTCCTACAGACCTTGAGATGGAGAAATCTCTTCTTCATGATTTTCAAAGGTAATTAATGTAATTCCTAACATATTATTGCTGATTCTGAGAGATGTTTTACTGGACCTCTAGGAAGAACAGTTTAGAACTGATAGAGTTATCCAGTATAAATAAAGTTAGTTTAGTTTAGGTTTCCTCCTGTAGTAACACTGGATCAATGAGAGATGATCCTTACTGGACCTCTAGGAAGAACAGTTTAGAACTGATAGAGCTATCCAGTATAAATAAAGTTAGTTTAGTTTAGGTTTCCTCCTGTAGTAACACTGGATCAATAAGAGATGATCCTTACTGGACCTCTAGGAAGAACAGTTTAGAACTAATGGGATGCATGTAGGCATTTGAGCTATATTAATATATAGCATCTTTCTTAAGAATATTGATTCATGTCGATTTATTTCATCAACAGATTATATGCTGAGGAAGACGACACTCTACTTCCAGGATTTGTAAAAAAGTAAGTGTTCTATCTTATCTTAAGATGACTAAGACAGTGGTTTTTTGATTCTGAGTGATTCTGAGTGTGTTCTGAATTTTTAGGCCTCGCTTCTGTTGTGATATCTCTGGTGTATTTTCTACAGACCCTTGAGATGGAGGAATCTCTTCGACATAATTTCAAAGGTAATTAATGTAATTCCTTACATTATTGTTAATTTTGATTTTGATTTTTTAAAAATTTCTAAAAATGTGTTAACATGCTGAAAATGGCTCTAATCAGTATCTTAACACATTTTTAGAAAATTTTCAAATATCCTCAATTTTCGCCGAAATAGTAAGGGCCCTTTGGCCAAAATGTAT